TGTTTTTTTTATTTCAAATAACTACCTCTGTACCACTGTTTAATGTTTTTTTGATGCGAAAACAAAACAAGGAAATCTTTAAAAAGTTTATTGTTTGAATAATATGGCCTCTTATAATGTTTCAACTTATTAAATAGGTCTTTACATACATCAGCTTTCTTAATTAGAAAATACATGTGTAATTCTTTTTATTTGAATTGAATTATAACTCTTCATTTATAACGTTGTGTGGTAATCATGCTATGAAGGTATTACCATGACATTTTCTGGATTTTCCAGTCAAGATTGTATTCACAAATCTTTATGCCTGAAGATACGAACTATGCTTGCTCGTTTATACAGTTAGTTATTTACGCTCATAAGAGAAAATTAGTGTTGATACATAGGAGTTGCTCTATCATCAAATATTTTGTTATAAGAAAACATTATGCTGGCGAGGCATGATTTTATTGCGAAGCAATGCTAATTGGTCAGTAGATTACGCTTCACCAGCATAAGGCATTTTATATCACGATAATTGATATATATTATAAATGACTGATATAAATAGCGTTTCGACAGAGATCTTGTATTGCATTCTCAGTTGACTTGATACTTTTAGATATTCAGCGAAATGCCACGTTGTCAGTGGCATGCGGCGTACAAAGTGTGTTGTAGAGATATTATAATTATGTTTCTTCTTATTGGAAACCTGTAGTAAAAGGCCAGTAAAGAAAGATTTGGAAAAAAAAATTACCCCTCTTATTATGATGTAATGTTACATAAACTACCAATAAGTAGAACACGCTTCGCTAGCCTAAGACGTTATATGTCATGCTAATTGAAACATCATAATGTTTCCTTTTCGATCTGGTTCGTGAAAAGTTTATTTTGAATTTTGCGCAAAGCTACTTGAGGACTATCTGCAGTGAATTTAGCAATTTAATAATTTAGCAGTAAAAAACTAGAGGTGAGACAGCTAGTCATCACCACCCATCGCCAACTCTTAGGCTACTCTTTTACCAACGAATAGTAGGATTGACTGTCACATTATAATCTCCCCACGACTGAAAGACTGAGCATGTTTGTTGGGACGGGGATTCGAACCCGTGACCCTAAGATTGTGAGTCAAGCGCCCTAACCACCTGGCCATGCCGGGCCAAACAGTTTGGAGCACTAGTAAATCTCTGTTTCATTCCACAGAGACAAATGAGACAAGCCTTTTTTAGCCAAAATGTACAGATGATATAGAGAACTTAGGGAGAAGTTTATATTATTTTACAACAGTGGCTGTCTCTTGTAAGCTGTAAATATTCTTCCATATTTTGTGCAGTGCGTTTTTATCATATTTCAAAGGAAAAGGTTTGAAAATTTGTCAAAAGCACATTTTATTATTTTTTACCAAACCTCCTCGGTGACTCAGCGGTAAGTCCCACGGTTTACAGTGCTAAAATTCGAGTTTCAATACCTGTGGTGAGCAGAGAGCAGAGAGCCCAGTGTGCAGTTATGTCCTTAATAAAAAAACAAGCTAATCAAACAGCTTGTTCTCGGTGGGATAGCGGTAAGTCTATGGATTTACAACGCTAAAATGAGAGTTTCAATTTCCCTCGTTGGACACAGCAGATAGTCCGATGTGGCTTTGCTATGAAATAACATACATACACATACCAAACAGCTTATTCTGCCACTTTGGATAATACGGTAATGTTAGTTACACTATTTGATTAACGTTTTAGCTCATCATGTTTGGTATCTATAGTTTATTATGGCATTTGATATGATAATATGGCTGTGAATTGTGTTAAAATTAGCTATCTTCTTTGTTTTCAGTATAGAAAATATTATGATTATGTCTCTAACGTTTTAAAAAATAACATATTGTGCGTGAGTAATAATGTATTCACTTTTAAGTTCTACTTGCAGAAAGAGTTAAACCTTAGCCATAAAGATCAATGTCAGAAAGCAAAACACGTTATGAAATGTCGTTACAATTCGAAATTAAAAATAGTATTTTTGTGAAAGAGAATATTGTTTGTTTCTTTGTTGATTTTTTTGTACAGAGCTATTCCAGGGCTATTTGCCCTAAAATTGAAATGCTAGACTAGAAGGAAGGCAGCTAATCAACTTCGCCCAATGTCAACTCTTGGACTACTCTTTACCAACAAATATGACACCCCGCAGCCCAAAGGGCAAGCATGTTCGGAGACAGGTTGCTATCCCGCGACTCGCAAACAGCAAGTCAAGCGCACTAATCACTAGTCCATACAAGGCCAACTTAATGATGAACGCAGTTTGTAGTTATTATAAATTTTAATATTGTTGAACTTTTGAGTTTATGTCTTCACGTTAGGTAAAAATATAATCATCACGCCTGATTTAATAACACATTATAAGAAAAACATTTTTAAGTCTCTCATAGACATTGCAACTACTTCATTCTTCGTCGTTGGCCTGGCGTGGTCTGATGGCTAGTGCGTTCCACTCGCAATCTGCGTCATCATGAATGTTTGTTCAGCCTTTCAACCACACGGATGTTATAATGTCAAGATTAATCCCACTTTTCATGGGTAAAGACTAGCCCAAAAGTTGGCGGTTGGTGCTATTGACTAACTGCCTTCCCTTTAATCAATCATTTCGAAATTAGTGATGGTTGACACAGATAGTTCTCGAGTAGCTTTGCTCGAAATTCAACAATAAAAGAAACTTCTGTCGATCATGTTTAATCTAAATGCCGTGATTACCCACAGTGTCAATATAACTAGATTCTACAAAGAAAAGCCAAATCACTCTTATAAAATACTTTTTGACAAACTTTTCATAAACGTTATGATCCTCCACCAAATATAAACAGATTAAAGACAGACATAATGTAGAAACTCACCATACTCTCTCTCTCTTTCTCTTTGTGACAACGTCGACATTCTTTATCCAAAGTAACCAGCTGAATTTGACTTCAAGTTCAAAACCAATTTCACCTGTAAAAATAGTTTCATATGGTCACTTTTGTTCATCCCGTTAGTTAGCAGACACTGTTGGAAGGATTTATCATTCTTTTGGTTACATACTTCTTAGAATATATTAGAACACTGAAAGAAGCTGTCATTAATCAACTACACTAGATGTGTCATATCATCAAGCTCCTCCCCCCCGCACAATAATATCACTTCTTTACTTAGCAGATAGATAAATTACTTAGTAAAGTAGCCAGTAATTAGTAGTACTGACATCCCAACTACAATCATGAGAAAATTTGGCACCAAAACACGCTTCATTACTACATTTAATCAAGGACCTAGTGTAATTCAGTTGAAAACTGGGTCTGTTGATCACCTATTTTGTTTCTAATTAAACACAAAGCTACACAATGGGCT